TCGCCGGCTCGTTTGGCTGCACGCCAGCTTTCGAGCTCTTTGTTTACACGCCGATCGGCGTCACCCGGCACCAAGGGGTTAATACATCATGGCAAAAATATTACTGATGCATTTTGAAGTCTTATGATATCATGAGCTAGGATGACGCCTCAGTAGCCTAGATATGAGGAGGATAATATCCCAGACACTGAGCAGCACGTGCTAATGCATCCGGTCCTCACTATACTTTTTTTTTTTTTTTTTCTCCTACATGTTGTAGATGGTTGAAATAAACAATATCATATCTTTCCAGCTCAAGTGAACAGTTATCTTATATTTGTACACTTTGAAAGTAGCATATCCTCCAAAAATGCATATATGTGAATGTAAAAATCATTCAATTTCAAAAGAAGTAATATTTGTTAAATAGCATTTGCAGAAAGCTTACCGGATGAATCACACATTTATTTTGCTTTCAAGAAAACTTGAATTTCACAAGCTACCTCTTATTACTACTAGTTGCTTCTATGTTTGCCCAGTATTATATGGTTGTTTTGTAGTTTTTGCTTCCTTTGTTCTTTCAGGAAAATAAAAATGAGCAGAAGCAGTAAGTAAACAATCAGTATGCATATAATAGAAGACAATTGAAAAATCTTGTAGTGTTCGTTGGACATTGATAATGAAGTAAAAAGAAATTAATGATAACTTATGTCATGTTATATATTTCCAGCTGGAGGTAGTACAAAGAGACAAGAGCACCTATAACACATCTCACAGGGTGTACAATGTAGATGTTTTGGAACAGCCACGTATGTCCTGCACTTTCTTTTCCACTTTGTGAAATTATAGACGAATATGATACTTATTTGCAAGTAGAGGAGAAAAGGGTTAAAATTATCTCATTTCTTCACTGGGATTTTTTCCTCAGGTAAGCCCTACGAGGTACGCTTCAAAATCAAAAATTTGAATGTAGAGCATATGCTAGAGCACAAAGTCTGGGAGAAACTGATGCCCGTGCTGACAGAAGACCTGTGGGAAGAGAGTGCTGCTGACCTTAACGTAACCTACCTCGCCTCAGCTACCCAAAAGGGCGATCGCTTGCCTGCCAGACCTTACGAGCGAGAAGGGTAAGATCAGTGTTATTAGAATGGATGAGTGTTCTTATTGAGTTCCTTAGTATAAGGATTTCAAGTTAATATTTACATTTTTGGTACCAAATATATTTCACTTTTTTAGTTATAGGAGGATAACTAAAGAAATGTTTGATCCAAGGGAAACTGAATGTTCTTCCTTAGTAGAAAAGTAGCTGACATTCAGTATACCAGAGCTTATGAAGCATTTAAATAGTTATTGGCATTGAACAAAGCATTTACATTCCTTTTAACCTTGTTCGATTTTGGCTTTATTTTCTACTCTGCTTTTCTACTTTATGGTTTCAGTTGTAATTAATATTAATTTTCTTCTGCAAAATTAAACAAAGAAAATTGTAGATGGACTTTGAAGTTTTTAGATCATCCATTTTAATCTCTGTGCTGTATTTTTTCACATAGAATTTACATAATTTTGTTTAATTTTTAGATATACCAAGTATATATTTATACCCACAGAGTTTACATAGGATTTGGCAGCTCTGCAAAATTCTCGTCTTCTCTGTATGGTCTAGAACAGGAGGTCAAGATACTCCGGATCCATCGTCCCTGTCCAGCATATTATAAGAAAACGTCATATGAGCGCTTCTTCCGCGAGAAGGACTTTGACGTTGACTGGTGCAACTTTAATTTGGTATGTAGGAGCATGTTAAAGTTTATAAACTAACTATATCTATATATGAACTGTATGTAAGTTGATAATGTAAAGCGGTAATCTGCTAGATACATTTATTTATTTATTTATTTATTTATTTATTTTATTTATTTTTTATTTATTATTATTATTTTTTAAATTTGTTGATTTATTTTTTTATTTTTTTATTTTTTGCAATTGTATGGTTAGTATTTTGTATGTGTACATTAATAGTGAATTTATTATTTGTTTTAAGTTTTTAATGAATTTGAGAGGATGAATCAAGCATGCATGCAAGAGGGAATTTTTTTTCCATATAATGCTACTATTATTTTCTTATTCTCTCATATTCTCTTGCTGTAGTATGACAACAGTGGTGACATGATGTATGGTGGGCATGACGATTCCCGTGATCATGAGGAAGGTCACAGGTCCCCAGTGATCTCAGCCCTGGAGAATGAGGGGAGGGTGTACCTTCGCAGCCGTGAGCAGGTGAGATGATGGAAGCGGAATGAGAGGTGAAGAGCTCGCCTTGTTTGTGTTGATATTCTGTGTATGGTTCATGTTCTAGAAGGGAATTGAATATGTGGTTGTGCTTAGAATAATGCCGTCAACTTCTGTTTGATCAGTTACTTTAAGTGTTGATTGGTAAATGTAAATGTTTATGTTTTTGGGGTTCTGGTAAAAAGACTTGTAAAGCCATTTTTTGGTTTATTTATTCTTTTCATTGTAGATTGCAAAATAAATCTTATTAGATAATAATAATAACAGTAGTAATCAAAGTAATAAACATGTAATTTTTAAAGGAAGGAAAGTACCCCGCTTTGCTTCATCCTTGCAATATTCCAGATCACAAAACGGTCCTACACTCTAGATGTGGTGCACACCATCCTGATCCCCCTGGTTGTGATGCTGGTGCTCCTGGCCCTGCTTACACTGGCTATGTGCTGCCACAGGAATAACATGTGAGTCTGAGGAATGGGCTCTTAATTGAACTAGGGGCTAACAGGGTATTTTTTTGTCTTTGTTAAATGTTTTGATCTCAATGTGTATTATGCTTTAGTCTATGGTTAGCATAAATATTTGTGGTGTTTATGTTTAGCTGGTGAGATGAGAGCGTAGATTGGAAGGGGAAGGATGCCAAATGAAAAAGGCTTTAAATAGATAATTGCATTACCACACTATCATGCACAATAAATATAGGGTCTGTCTTAGCATACAAAGTTTTCATACCTGACTGATAGAGTGAACAATAAATTTATAGCTAAAATGTAGGAAGAAAAACTCACAGGCTGCAGACAATTGAAAAAAGTGAAAAAAAGAAGAAAAAAAAGGGGGTAATAGTGAGAGGGTAAGAGAGAGAGGAAGGCAGATAAGTAAATTGTAATATGAAAATGTAGGTATTGAGAAGGTATATGTAAATGGATTGTATAATGTTCTCATGCCTATTTTACAAATCTGTAGGGACCAACAATCCAGTGACTTTTTCGATGAACTCTTTGATGACTTCCCGCGGTAAGAACTTCATTGAAAATGGGATGAGTAATGTGTGCTGTTTGGTTTTACATAGTGTAGAATTAATGAGTGCAAAATTAACAAGAGCATGATCAGGGGACGTTTCCTGCTCCCGTGTGTGTGTGTGTGTGTGTGTGTGTGTGTGTGTGTGTGTGTGTGTGTGTGTGTGTGTGAGTGTGTGCACATGGGTGTGTATATCCATGCGTGCTTGACCATATGTGCATGTGAATGTGCATGCACACACACACACTCACACACACTCACTCACTCATTCACTCACTCACTCACTCACTCACTCACTCACTCACTCACTCACTCACTCACCTACTCACTCATTAAAACACACACACACACACACACACACACACACACACACACACACACACACACACACACACACACACACACACACACACACACACACACACACACACACACACACACACACACACACACACACACATGCATATATTCATATATTGGAAATGTGAAATAATTTTGGTAGAAACTTAAACAGAAGATTCTGGTAAACATGATAGTTACTAGAACTCACAATTTATCTTGTAGAAAAAATATTCATAAGATTTCTGGTTACATAAAAGCCTGAAACTTTAGTTGGATGTAATACTGAAGGATTATTTACCTTTTTATTCTAAGGGAAATTAAAATACCATAAGGGTTTAGGAGAGAATTATTATACAGTAACATTACTGAGTTAAAATTAATAAGTTATATGTTTCTCATTATTAGTATTTTTTCATTTGGTTTCCATTTATGAATATGACAATCAAGAGGTGAAATATGTTTACAAGTTTAAAAGAGAAAGCTTAATTTTCAGAAAAAATGTTTGTATGGTATATGATAGCTAGGTATCAGATATTGGTATGGTTTGTATGGTTTGAGTGTTTGCAGTGCTCCCTGTATTTACTTATTTTACTGCTTTGGTTGCATTGGAGAATAGTGATGTACTTTAGCATGATTTATGAAGAAAAAAAATGTGAAGATAACAGAAACTGGACAAGAGTGTATATTGATGGTTTGATACATTTTAGTTAAGTTTAATATATTTTAAAGAGTGTATTTGCATGCATAACTTAAAATATACACTATTAATCATAGGGAAACAATGGAGAGTCTTGGTTAAAAATATATTCAAGTATTATTCAAGTATCCATATACATATATACATACATATGTTGTTCATAGATATACACACACACACACACACACACACACACACACACACACACACACACACACACACACACACACACACACACACACACACACACATATATATAAATTAATTTATGATATTTTATCCTCTGATAGCATCCCAGCCACGCAAGACATCCAGATGGTTCAGTATGCAAGCATTCACAGAGCCACGGAAGCACTGCGAGCTCTAAAGGGACGAGAGCACTCTCCTCATCCCTCCACAGCCACAACAACCACACAGGCTGACACACTCCCCAGGTCTTGCACCGCTAGTCCCTCCTCCACCCTGCCTCGGAATTCTACGCTTAGGTGAGCTGGGTTCCTGGGATGGTAAAGTTGTTTCTTTTATTATGAGTTTATGGTTGTGCAGTAGATTTTTATTTTTCTTTATATATATATACATATTTTTTTCTTTTCTTTGTGGATGGATAACCTTGTTTAATCATATTGGTTAGTATATTTTTCTTCTTTTCAATCTACATGAGAAGACCAGTGATCTCTCAAGTAGTATATATTATGTCTTTGATTTAAACTTATTTCCAAAGATGATATGAAGATTCACCCTTATTTTTAATTTATTATAGTATGTTAAATCATGTTTGCTATATTAATTTGTTTACACAGTATTTTATCTGATTAGAATGTCTTAAAGAAAGAATATTAATCATAAGGAATAAGGAACGATGAGCACATATGTTGTGAAGTTACTTAGTACCAGCAGTGTTCTTGCATTACAGTTTCATGCAGCCTTTAATAAGGAAAGACATCAGAAGTAAATGCTGTACAGGTATACGTAAAATAATTATACATGCATTGTCTTTCAGTCGCCGCTTTGAGGACTATGCCACCCTCACACGGCCTGACCCACCACCATATCAGAGGAAGTGAGTGAGAAGTGCTTTGTTTGTTGTATATAACCATTGATAATACTTAGTTATTGAAAGATATAAGTAGTTTGATTGTAGAATTATTTATCCTCATTATGTATGGTATTAATTATGCACTAAAGATTGATTTAAAGAGAATTTATATTTGTTTTCAGTGGAGCAACACCTACACGCTAAGATTTGTCATGGTCGGCAAGACAGCTGGATTGAGGAGAGGTTAGCATATAGATTGCATAATTATGATTGGTGGCAATGCAGCCATGGATAAAAATTTGTTTATTGCTTACTTGAGGTTGTAAGGAGAGCAGTTACGAATAGATCTTGAACAGTAATAGACAAAAATTATGGAGAATGATAAAAGTTGGTCCATTATTATTTAAGAAGTGAAAGGCAGTGTCAAGTATTACTTGTATCCATTGATATGCTTCATTTTAGGTGTTTGTTGATATATTTCCCATGTGATTTACCTCTCTGTGAAGTGTAAAGTAAACCTTTGGCTGAAAATGTGCCATGAACTTGCATTTAAACTGTAATAGTAGTGCAATAGAACTTCCAGATTCTCTTTTAAGCTTACTAACTCTCTTCTGTATTTATAATAAAGTACTTTGACTATTGCATAATCTTCAAGAAGGTTTCACTTACAGTTTGACTTTTACTTACAAAGTTATTGTAAGTAGATATTCAAAGGGATTGACATGTTTGGGCATCTAAAGTGGGGCACTGTTAGAATGTGATGAAATAGTTACTTATACAGGGAGTACTGTACTCTGATATAGTGTAATTTTTTACCAAGACTAGTGTGAATATGAAATGAAGTTTCATACCAAATTTTCCAGTTATAATAAAATACAAACTTTCAAAATATGACAGAATATGTCAATTATGTGAACCCTATGTATCTGAAATTCTTGAACATCTCTGAGAGATCTGTTTGCCAATATTAAACTGTTATTGCCAATGTATTGAATTTATCTCATAAGGCTCATATGGTTTTCAGTGGTACAGAATAAATTCAGAAGCCTCTGTGTCAGATCTAATGAATTTGCCTAATCTTTCTCTCTTGAGAAGACCTACTGGAATCTGTTTGTCTGAGGATCTTAGCTGTTGGCCACTACACATGCCAAGCTTGAGGTATCTGGCCTGCTTTTTGTGATGATGTATTGACCATAATGATGAATTTATCAAGTAATCTATGGTCCACCTAAATCCATGAACCAAGCCATTATTGTGGATGGGCTAGGGTTGATATATCAATCAATAAAGGGATAATATATCAGTATATGAAGCTAATGCATTGTAGAATACTCTTCTTTAAATATCTTAGTACAATTGAGTATTAAGTGATTTATCTTGTGGTGACATTTTAATGGTGGAAGAAATTGTTGTCCATGGGTTTAGGGTGGGAGAATAGTGGTTATGGTATGAACTTCAGTATATATTATCAACTTAAATTTAAATGTAAAATCAACTGAAAGGGGTATATAAGAGCACTTTATAGGAACCTGGCTAGTTTCTGCATACATATATGTGGTTTTAATTTTAAGAAATTTATAATTATATAACTAATTGGAGGAAACACTGTGGCTAAACTGGTCCTGAATGAAATAGTAAATTGTGAATCTACTGATGTTAATTAGAGTTAGGAAATGACTATAGCCTATGTTCTTTTTTTTTTTTTTTTACAAAGATTACCAATTGAATTAGACTTTCAGATCCCCCAGTGCTTTTGTAACTTCCTGTAAAGTATATCATAAAAAGTAAAATAACAAAGAAAGAGAAACATACCAGTATTTGAAGTGAATGCATATCATATATCATTATGCTAAAAGGAGTTTACAGTGTGATTTGTGGATTAGGTCTATGTATGCATACATGTGTGGATGCATAAACAACACATATCAGTATACATTTTGCATATACTTTTACAGACACTAGCAATAGATTAAGAATAGCCAATACACAAATACATTGATATGTTTAGGATTTTAAAAAGAGAAAAAAAATATTCTTATATCTGTAAGTTTAATTATTTTTTACAAAAAACTAATAAACTACAGTATTATTTTACATTACACATAGTAACCATGATCTCTTTAATCATATAATTTTATAAATTAGAAACCATTTTTGAAGTGGAAAGTATAGCTGAAACTAAAGGTCAGATGGAAAAGTACTGAGGGAAGCATAATGCAAAATAAGATATTTATATAAATGAGTACTTAAGGAAATACATGTTGATGTGTTTGATGACACTGGTTCATCAAAGAATTACAGTGTTTATCCTTGTAACTGTTGTCAGAAACATGATATTACTGTGGTACAACATTTATTGGTTTGTAATAATGCTAAACTATACACTTTAACTTACAGGGTACTGATATATCAACAAAAGAATGCTGTCTAGTCAAAAGGCTTTAAAGTATTAGACTTTAAGATTGTCATTGTTGTTGTCAGTTGTGATTTTTATTGTTTTGCTTTCAATAAATAATGAAAGTATTATGTGTTAATTTTATTACCTTTAGATTCCACTATATTCAGTAATTATTTGATCAATAAATAACGTGCAGTTAAAAAATCCAAAATTAGTTATACTTTTCATAGAATCAACAAATTTGGTTAAGATTATTATATATAAGGAATTTCTAAACTTATTAACTCTCAGAAGAGATGTATGCATCATTATTTTTTTTAGCTGAGCATAAAAAATGAGAGGCAATACTGGCAAAAGTGATAAGAATTTTTAAAAATTCTACACCATTTTTATGTATCATAATTATAATGAATTACATAACCCAGAAATTTAATAACGTGCAGCTGTACAATGTAATGACTTGTAATACATACAAACAAGTACTTGATGCGGCTATTTGGAAATTTAGAATGGGACTGATGGTTGTTTACGAAATACATCGTCTATAGCAAGTGAAACCAAATTTCTGAAATGCATAGAAAGTGCAAAAATAAAATACAGAATACACTAATTCACCACTCCAGGGTTTTGATGCCTGACTCCTATCAAGGTATTTCAATGAATGTTCTGAACAGAATTGACTTAAGATAGTAAGGTAACAGCCATAAATACATAAACTAGAATTAATTCGTATGGGTAAGTCCACAATCTTAGCTAAAGTGTCCTAAAGCCGGGGCCACACTGGACCAAGGTATATTTGGACGGACACATGATGGGATAACGTTCATCATCGCGCGGGTTACGAATTGCATATTTGAATAGGGTAGATGCAAAGAAAAAAAAAGAAAATACATACACATATACATGTTTCATACATATACAGCTATCAATAAAAGCCTACATATAAGAATGTCACCAGGCGGCACGCGGCTCTTTGAAACATGCATCGCCTGGCGGTGATACATTACAGGCGGCGTGGCAAATCGCCATGCAGTACTGCGCTTGCACTGAAAACAAGCGTGACCCGCCGCGTGCGATCCGTAGTGTGGCCACGGCCCAAGTGAGGCGATGCAGAAGTGGTACACACCCGTCAAAATAGCACTGATTTACTACTGACATATCTACTTTAATTATCAACATTAATGTCCCAGGTCAGAGTGAACAGAAAGCAGGCATAATTTAAGATAACGAGATGGCAAATCAGATTCCAAGGTGTTACAGTACATGTCACCTCAAAGCCCAGGGGTGTTAAATCAAATTTTTCTTAGGAAAGAGTGGGTAGGCGATCGAAGCTAAAAAAAAGAGATATTCTATGAGCATTTTAACCGACCTATATAGGAGTAAAAAAAAAATAATAAAATAAAAACGTGGACGGGGAGGGGGGGGGCTAGACCTTGAGGAGAACAATTGTCTCTCCCCCCAACTGATCAACTGCTGCCCCTGCTCAAGCCACCCCCTGAACACATTCCTGGCGACAATTGCGCATCGAAGTCCATGATTTTTAACTCGAGAAGCGAAGCCCATCGATGCCGTTGTTTGCTGGCTTTTGCTGGAGCACGAAGCGTGGAACTCACACCGCAGTTTCATGTAATCCATTTGTGAACAATTTTTAAAATTCTACCTTGTTCAACTGTCATCAATTTTCGTGAAAGGGTGGCTGCGGGAGGCCCGAGCGAAGCTGTTGCCAAGCTGAGCACTCCATACAGAGAAGCTTGGTTGTTTCGAAAGCGTTCTACTTCGAGCTTGATGTACTTGTATTTCATGCCTACTTAAATCACTGTCTCATGTGAGCCGCCAGTAAAAATAAATAAATGAATAGATAAATAATTAAAATAAATCACAATAATAATAATAATATCGATAATAATATCAATAATAAAAGGCAAGAAATACCACATTTCGCGACGGCACAGAAAGTCCCTGAGAAAAGGATTATGGACATTTCTGAGACTGCAGGTGATGGTGCGGGAGTGGCTGCACACGAAAATTGAAATAGCAGTCGGGGCAACAAAGGATGGCATGATATTCCTATGAACATCAGTTTTTATTCGCTGTTTACGATTAAAAACGTGAGGTTTTTTTTGTTTGTTTTTCCCTTTGCACCTTATCAACACTCAATCATGTAAAATCATTCTTTCTTGCAGTTTATCCGGTTCGTAAATCATGACATTCACTACTTGGCCGTGGGAGAGTCACGCTACCTCTGTGTGCGTTTGCGTGTGTGTGTGTGTGTGTGTGTGTGTGTGTGTGTGTGTGTGTGTGTGTGTGTGTGTGTGTGTGTGTGTGTGTGTGTGTGTGTGTTTTGCGCTATAGCTGTAGTTGCTCTGCACCAGTGATTCTCAGTTCAAATTCCGTATTTTACCTTCAAGGGTAGTGTACTGTACTGCACCTATATGATTACATATTTATCCTTACCTATCAGGCATAAAAACATCAAAAAAGTACATGGAAATACTTGTATTATCTACACTTTTGTAAATGAAAAAAATACTGTACTCTTCTATGAAATACAAAATAGTAGTTTTGCACAGTATATAGTATATACATGATGCATATTCATAGGTGGAAATCACTCCATTTGTAACAGCACACAAAATACCCAAAGCACTATCAGCGAAGCAGTGAATCAGTGAAGTTCCCACGGATAATACCAAGTCATTGTGACAACCCGCCTCTTTATTCGAGGAGCTGTTGATGGCAATGGTACCGTCGTCCGATTTTAGGCGGTTTCTTGCTCTTTCATTGTAGAGAAGAAGAAAAAACATATAACCAGATAAAAAAACACTATTAGAACAGTATGAAGTGATAAAAAAAATAAAGTGTATGAGAGAGTTAATACTTACTTTTCAGACTGGGTGAGTAGTCTACCTAAACAATGTCTTTTCTCAACCTTTTGGGGGTTCTTTATACCCTGAAGATACAATGTAGCGAAGTCTTTCGGTATATTCGTGCGTTGTCTTTCATTGGAATGAATTGCTAAATGATGATAATAATAATAATAATAATAATAATAATGATAATAATGATAATAATAATAATAATACACACATCTCTCTTTCTCTCTCTCTTACACACACACATATACAAACACACATATACACACTCAGGCAGAGTGTGATGTGTGTATTTAGATGTATATACATACGTGTACATGTATATGTATGTGTGTGCGCGCGTATATGTGTGTGTGTGTGTGTGTGTGTGTGTGTGTGTGCGTGTGCGTGTGCGTGTGCGTGTGCGTGTGCGTGTGCGTGTGCGTGTGCGTGTGTATGCATATATATGTTACGCTTTTATAAACAGACTATTCTCTCTTCCAAGCATAAACAGAAGGCCCGGGCGAAGCTAGGAGTTCGCAATCCTCAATCATCATCATGAACAGACTGTTGTAATCCGCCAGTTCTCATCAGTTTCTCAAATGCATTATCGCCTGAGTAGAAAAAAAAGAAGATAATCGATTGGTGATGCCGGTCATACCCGTGATGGACTACGGTCATGCTAAATTTCGGTATGGGAGTTAACAAGGGTTTCGGTGACGTAACTTGGGAGGTGTGCTATATGACGTCACGAGCTCACAGCCAATGACAGCCAAGGGGCGTGACAGCTTGGCAATTCTCGGGATCTTCAGGCGTCGCTTCTCGCAGTGGCAATCAGTTTAGTCAGTCAGTCAGTCAGGGAGAGATGGCGCCCGTGCTAGCATACTGGAGCATCCGTGGGGTGAGTCAGGACCAAATCGCCGTTATTTTAAAGGGTTTTGGAATAATTTGAATAGCTTTTAGGTGTGTTTGAGGGTGGGTGTGGGTAGAGCGTGGGGTGTTTTAAAGGATGGTTGGGTAATTAAGCTGTATCAGTTAAAAGAAAACTTGGGAAATTGATTTGACACGTGAACCGGCAGAGGGGGTCCGTTGGCGTCACTGAAGCCCTTAAGAGAAAAAAAATAGCGTCATTGTATTTTTGAATTTACTCGTTCTTTTTTCTTTGTTATGAAGTAGGGTGTGTTTATTAGGTTGAAGTCGATAATAATGTATGGGATTCCGTGCTGGTAAATGTGTGTCTCTGTTTTAATTAAGCAAATATAACCAAGAAACGAGTTTTTTTATAAGTCACTCACGAACCTTGAACAAACAAGCCAACGTAGCATGATTATTTGATCCTAAACCAAATGCCGGTTTAAGCAATAATAACTGAAAATACACTTACTTACTTAAATGAATACATAAAAAAAACAATTTGGAATAATTTTCACAACGAAATATCCGTCTTAAGCCCAAATATCCGGCAAGACAAAGACACCAAAGGACTTGCAGGACCTCGGTAGGATAACCTTGGAGGAGGAGGAGGATGACTCTGCTGAAACCTTTGTATTTGAAAGGACAAAGACGCTCAATCCTCAATATTTGTTCTTTAACAATAGCAAAGTATTGGCTTAGAAGTCCTACACTTAATCAGGATATGGGGAATTTGTTCCCCTTTGCTTGAGTACAGGAAGGGCGGACTCCTTGTGGTCTTGTTCTTAACATTTACAAATATTTGTACATTTTCAGCAAGTTGGATAAATGGGTAAATGTTTAAAAGATGCCAATATTCCGGCCTCCTTCCCTGCCAGTGCTTGGGAAGGGCCAACAAATCATGAATATTGATATATTGCCAAGATGTAGTCAGTACTATTCCCTTGAAATATATTATTAAATAAGAAGCCAGTATATGACTTGTTGTGATATGGGGAATTGTTGGTATATATTTACACAATGACTGCACTAAGCTAGGAAGTCTTACGAACGCTGTCATAAAGAAATACACTAAATACTCTGGGTTAATGTTACTGACAGTGTTGCACAGAGATAGAGGGAGTGGACACTGCCACGTTTTAGAGCATAAGAAATAATCAACGTAGGTACAGCTAATGCAGCCTCCTATTTACCATGAAATGACATAAATATCTGCTGCTTATCACCGCTCAGAGACTAAGACCACAACAGCCTCACACAGCTAGTTCAAGCAGTTTAGGGAATGCATAGAAGATAGGGAAGGTTAGGTTTGGATTTTTGGGTTTGTATGATACCCCAATGTGCAGATAAACAGTTGGGCAGAGGAAATATGTAAAAATCCAGTTTGGACTTAAACTCTAGAGGGTGCATCACACTAGTTAACAAATACCATAGGCAGGCAAAGGATAACCTCAGGAATAAAAAAAAAAAAAAAGTCTAGTAAATAATCCCCATATTTGATTAAGGAGGATTTTTTGGTTTGGATCACCATGTTTCTTGGATTCCCAGGAGTTCCCCCGGGGTTGTTGGCTGGGAGTATTAGGGTCTTCATATCGGAGGGGTGTGGTCACTTCATAAACTTTATTTTTTTTATTTATTATTATTATTATTTATTTATTTTTTCTTTCTTTCTTCAATGAAGGGTTAGACAAGGAGCCTGTGGAGGTTATAATTTAAAAGATAAATTTCTAATGTACAGTGTTTTTCATCAGTCCCTTGTATGATTGACAACTCTATTTAGTTTTTTAGTATTTCTTTGAAAGCTTAGGTAATTCATATTTTATTCTGAAGAAATATGATTTCAAAGATTGCTTATATATTGAATATTTATTTTTTAGTTGGTTTAGTTAATCTTATCTTCATTTTTATTAAAATTTTCCCCCCTTTCCCTCACAGCTTGCCCAGCCCATCCGTTTATTGCTGGAGTACACCGGCACAGAATATGAGGAGAAGGTGTACGACTGTGGGCCTGCCCCAGACTACGACAAATCCTGCTGGTTTGATGTCAAGTTTACCCTCGGCCTTGACTTCCCTAATGTATGTCTTCCTTGTAAATTCTTGTGTGAATGGTGTGATTTTAGTTGAATATACATATATGTATATACATATATGTATATACATAATGTATGTCTTCCTTGTAAATTCTTGTGTGAATGGTGATTTTAGTTGAATATACATATATGTATATACATATATGTATATACATATATGTATATACATATATGTATATACATATATGTATATACATATATGTATATACATATATGTATATACATATATGTATATACATATATGTATATACATATATGTATATACATATATGTATATACATATATGTATATACATATATGTATATGTATATATGTATATGTATATATGTATATGTATATATGTATATATGTATATGTGTATATATGTATATATATATATATATATATATATATATATATATATATATATATATATATATATATATATATATATATATATATATATATATATAATCATGTATAAGTATACATGTGTTTGTTAGTATAATGTGCACACTTGTCCATAAATGTACTTATACTTATGCATACATGCATATAAAAATGCACATGTATATGCACTTGTATGTATAAGTGTACATCTAGATATAAGTAACAGTATGTATGATATCCATATGGATATACTTTTCTTGAGGAGTGTACATTGACTTGTAACCTATGTGTATGTGTATATGTATACATATAAATGTCCATGTAGATATATATGTACATTTACATAAACATAAACTTGTATGCATAACTGGAGTTACACATGTATGCCTACCTGTCTTTGCAAATGTACATGTACTTATAAATATACTTGTCTATATGAATATACATCTACATCTACATTACTTTTATGCATATGCAAATACATGCATATATGCAATATAGTATGAGTTAGTTAAATGTGCATGTACTTTTTTCTTCAACTAATATATCTTATCTTAATCCTTGATCTTATTCAGAAAATGATGTAGACTATATATGTATATTCATTATATATATAGTTTTTTTTCTGTTCATTCAAGATTGACTGTAGATTGGTGTGAACTGTCACTGAATTGCCTAGTTGAGTTTAATGGTATATAATTTTATTTTCATTACAAATATGTTATGGAAATTAATGAGTAAAGAATATTCTTCAATTTTCATTGCACACCTGATAAGACTTTTGAGTTGGTTCACCTCCAGAAGTTTAGTTCAATGATTTATTAAAAAAAAAAAAAAAAAAAAAAAAAAAAAAAAAAAAAAAGAGGGAGAGAAAAAGAATAGAAGTGGCAGCCTATTATCATATTATGCTCGGAGGCTGTATTACAAAAGTCTTTTATCTCGAGTGTACTTGACACAGTGATAAGAAGCAAATTGTACTCCTTGTTTTTAGTCTTGATAATGGTCTGTACTTGACTTATGACTGGCATTAAGTTATGAGAAGCTGCATTTTTTTTTTTGTGAAAGTTAAAAAGATTATCGGCATCCTTCACTGAGAGAGAAAAGTGTCACATTGATTTTTTTGTCATTTTAGAAATGTATTTTATCATGGTGATTGATGTGTTCAGTGAAAGATTGAGTACACCTTTTTTTTTTTACATGTATGATAGTGGATGTTGGAACTGATAGTATATCTTAATGCTTGCCCAAGGTCACTTTAAAGGTGATAAACTTCATGGATATACTTTGATATAACTTTTCCCCATTTTTTATATTCTGTGAATCATTTTTGAGTTTATAAGTGCTATATAGTTTTTTATGTAGATAATTTGAATGTATAGACTCATTGGAGTTGCCAGAATCTAGGTATCAACAGTATTTTCTTTTCATTTTTTTCCTTTCTCTTATGGAAAATAACAGATGATATTTTTCCCCCCCAACTCCTAACCCATTGCTGCTGATTACGCTGCACAGTCAATGAATAGGCCTAACTAACCTCACCTGATTATCCCATTCCTCATGTTTTAAGGAAATTTTTTTTTCCTCCAAATACAATTAATAATTTTACTATCATTATCATAATTTTTTATTTTTATCATTATCATTGACACTGAATATTCTCATTTTCTCAACAATACTAGAAGCAATAAGGATAAAAGAGAAAGATTTTTAAAAATCAAGAATGAGGCGAAGCAGGTGAGATTAGGTAGGACTAGTAACTGAGTCTTACATTACATCCGACTTAGCAGAACTGCACTAATTAAGAATTCTGGTATACTGATGTCTTGGAGTTGCTAAGGCTTGAAATCTTAGAAATATCAGCTAATAGTGTAGAATCAGTTGCTCTATGAACATAATATGAAGTTGTGCCACATATTTTGTTTTCATCTATCTTCCTTTATTTTTTTTCCCAAAGCTCCCATACTACCTGGATGGCAATCTGAAAATCACCCAGAGCAATGCCATCATCCGTCACATTGCTCGCCAGAACAACATGTGCGGGAAGACAGAGGAGGAGAAAGTTCGTGTGGACATCCTCGAAAACCAGTCTGTTGACCTCCGCAATGGCTTTACACAGCTCTGTTATAGGGACTATGTAAGTGGGGCTTTCATTATATTGGTCCCAAGGATTTATTTTATATTTTTCTTTTTACTTGTATTAATATGTTTTTATTTTACTTTAATTCAAAATAACGGGTAATGTACAAGCAGATTTGTTTTGTCCTCTTAAATGTGAGGTATTTTTTTCTCTAGTGATGGTAAATAAAGAATTGCAAAACAGCAGTTCTTAGACGCAAGTAAATCATATTACAGACTCTGACAGCTGATTAATGGTATAAAGGTTTTAATTTGTAGTGATATAAAGGCAAACAAGAAACAGTTATTAGTAATAATTTTATTAAATACCCTGTAGTAATGAGTATATATTGTAATTGCTCAGTAAAAAAGGGAAAGATATCCCAATGTTAAATAATTACAGATTTTTGTTGTAAGATTCACCATACTTTTTAGGTTGTTTCAAAAGATGATTCTGTCATGGTCAAAGTGTGATACTCATATGTATATATAATTTTTTTCTTTTTCTTTAACCAGGACACCCGGAAGGATGCTTACTTAGAGGCTCTGCCAAACACACTTAAGCTCTTCTCAGATTTCCTTGGAGAACGCAAGTGGTTTGCTGGGGACAATGTGAGTTTTTTTTTTTCTGTGGAATATTTTTTATGACTTTTTAGAATTAAATATTTCCAAAATATAGATAATTCTCAAAATATAGATATGTAAGATCATCCAGAATGTACTCTAATACTCTTCTTCTTCTTGGCACAGTTAACCTACGTGGACTTTATCATGTATGAACTTCTCGATGAGCATCTTGTACTTGATAGTGGTTGTTTGAAAGACTTCAAGAAGTTGCAGGAATTCCACAAACGCTTTGAGGCACTCGAGCCTATCAAGAAGTACATGGCCTCGCCAAGGTACATGAAATCCCCACTCAACAACAAGATGGCCAAGTTTGGAAATAAATAGATAAAGCATTTTCTTGACACTTGAAATTTGATCTTACCATTTTTGAAGAAGAAAACTTTTCCAGTTAGTGTATGAACACTTCTATGTCAGCACTATTGTCCTTGTTTGTGATACAGCTTACAATTCTAGTTTTATAATGAATGTTTCTTTGGTTACCAAAAAATTCTAGTTTAGGAAAAAATAACCTAAAAGTTGATGAGAAATTGTGTGTAGCTGAAAGTTTTGAAAAGTTTCAGAAGATACGCTTTTTGTTTTATTTTATTTTTTGTTTGCATTTTATTTTGGTAGCTATTTACATTGTGAAAGTGTAATTCAGAGACTCAGGTTTTGTAGAGTTGTCTGAATGGCCGGAATAAAAGCAGCTCAAAATACGGTTTTCAGTTTAACCAACTGCAACATGGCTTTACTTTGTATGGAATTTCATCTCCTGAACGTTATTGTAATTCCATTGATATGATT